CAACATATCAACAACAATATTGAAATATGTTTACAAAAAATACACAACTATAGTTTTTTAATTCATGTTAATTTTTAGTCAACCAAAAATGATTTAATGTCTTATGAACACGTTTAAGTGAGTCGCAAGTAAAATCCTAAAATTTGTGTAAACTGTTATATTCTTTTAATTTTACTATTATTTTTAAAACTTTTAGTTTGATGTTACATTTTACACATTGTAAAGTTACCACTTTTAATATTTTAGGCTGTTTTTAAATCACCAGTGTAGCAATAAACGGTAAAACCCAATACACCAACTGTTGTTATCAAATTAATGAAAATTACTATTTAATAATTATATCAAAATGTAGTTTTTTTGTTAATTTTTTTTAAAAATTTATGTTCAGAACGAATTTAAATTATTAATTTATAGATTAATAATAATTTATTAATAGTTTAATTTTTTAGGTTTATTTGTGACTTTATTTTACTATTAATATTTAGTTGTTATTAATTTCTTATATAGTTTTAATAAATGAAAATATTCGTTTTATAAAATGTTATTTGATTGTTTTTGACAAAATGTACTATTTCATAATATATCATTTAATACATAATTTAATACATAATTATATTATTGTGGGTTAAACATTAGTTAAGTTATTGTTAATTTTATTATATTGTTATAATAAATTTGTATGATTTATTATATTATGTATTTACTATAACAATTAACCAGTTGTTAATAGTTTCAAAACTTAACGTTTTTACTATCAAACTATTTTAGTATTCTAAGGATGAGGTGAGTTTTATTTTAATTTGCCAAAATTTTTTTAGTGCAAAAAAACAAATTTTTAAAGGCATGTCTAAAGTTTAATTTAAATGAACGAGAAACGAAAAATTGTATTTATAATTTTAATATTACAACAATTAATAATTAATTGATAAAATATAAATATATAGTAAGTGTAATAACAATTTTGTATCAATCTAAAGCAAACAGTTGTTGATTAATTTGTGAACCCTATTATGAATTTCTAATCCCATAAAAAATTAACTTTGTTGATTACACTAGTTACATTGATTACACTTATCATTTTATTATAAATAAATAATAATATATCAAGAATTGCACATTGTGTAATATTCGAACTAATAATATTTATACACACAATCAAATAGTTTGTAATTAAATGACAGAACAATTACTGAGTGATAATGTTGGAATCTTTAACATTGGTTCATTTAAAACCAAAATCGGATATGCTAATAAAGAAGCACCTGAAGAAGTGTTTAAAAGTGTTGTTGGATACTTAAAATGTGTGTATTATGGTTGTGGGCAGGCAATAAGAGATACTTATGTTGGTAAATATTTTATTCACAATTGTTATTCAATGAATTTGAAATATCCAGTCCAACGTGGTTTAGTTAGTGACCGAGATAATTTTGATTATATTGTTCATTATAGTATTTTTGATTGTTTGATCGAATATTCATAAGAATCACCAGTTTTGTTAACAGAATCAATAAATTACACCAAAACAACAAGAAAAAATCTTTGTATGACTATGTTTGAAGGGTTTAATTGTCCATATTTTTGTCTTGTTTCGCAGCCAGTATTATCATTGATGTCGACTGGTCAAAGTACCGGTTATTGTGTTGAATGTGGTGATGGAATAACACAATTTGTACCAATTTATGAAGGTTCATAAATTGAAAAGGGTGTGTCGTGTTTAGAACTTGCTGGTCAAGACGTTCACGATTCAATCGAGAAAATTGCAAACCAAAAGGGATTTACTTTTAAAGAATTTAATGAAAGATTAATTCTTGATGAAATAAAAGAAAATATGTGTTACGTTGCTCAAGACTTTGAAAAAGAAAAGGAAAAAGAAGCAAACGAACTCGAAAAGATATACAAACTTCCTGATGAAAGAGAAATCAAGCTTGGTGCCGAAAGATTTGAATATACTGAACAATTATTCAATCCAAATAAATATGGAAAAGATATGAATGGTATTGCTGTTCAAGCTAATGATTCTTTAATGCATAATGAACCAAATCTAAGAACTGAATTGTACGGAAATATTGTGTTGGCTAATGGAAGCACAATGATGCCTGGCTTTGTCGAAAGATTTAACACCGATCTTACAAAAATTGCACCAGAATCTAGGAAAATAAATGTAACTGCACCACCCAATGGAGATATTGCTGTATATATGGGTGGCAAAAATCTTTGCAAGTTTGTCAACTTTTAAATCTGCTTGTGTGTCATTAAAAGATTATGATGAATGTGGACCAGATATCATCAACAGAGTTTGCCCATAAAACATTTCTGCTTTTTGTTTATTTCAAATATTCGCAATTAATACAAACAGAATTAATAAATATTGAATATAATATAATTATATTAATATATATAATATGTATAATATGAATGTTAACTAGAATTTGATTAATATTACATTTATTAATTTGTTATTAATGCACTATTTTATAAACTGTAACTTTTTGAAACTGATAAAACAGTTAATATATAAACAAAAATATCAAATCAAGTTTAATAAAGTATTTGAGTTTGTTAAGTGTTCTGTATGTTATTATTTTGGATACATATACTCTATAAAGCATAACAATATAACGTGTGTTATCAATACAAAATCAAAGTACCATTTAACGTTTGTTATACACCACAAGTTATAAATTGAAATACTGAGCATACTCATTTTTACCCACAATAATAGCATCGTGTGAAATTCATCAAAGTTGGAATTTTCAAATTTCATAAAAAGAAAATACAACATTTTGGATTTGGTGTGGTAATACACTTTTTGAGCGAAACTGTTTATGCTGTTATTTGTGTCACCAAACAAATCTGCTAATAATAAACAGAGAACAACCGACGAAATGACAAAAGGCAAAATTAAATACATTTTAATCACATTAATAACACCATAACTGAACACTCCCAATAACAATGTAGTAAGAGAAAATATACTCAATTTATATGTATATGAATCATATGTTCCGATCATATTATTGTACACAGCAAATAATATAAAACAATCGATAAGTGCGATAGCCTCATATTTGCACATTTCAACACACCAAATAAAGTCATATTCATTGGAGTGAT